CACGGTAATAATAACAATTGACAGATTAATTTTTGGAGGCTAATATTGCGCCACCAGTCACCCTGCATATTTATTATTGGCCCTGTGTATATAAGTTGACCAAATGCATCATTTTAATAATAATGGTCAGTTTTGGTTTCCACTGTAATCATTTTTATGGTCACAGTCTAGTTCCAAAGGCATAGTGGCTCTCTTTAGTGACTTTGCTCAACATTTGAGACATTTCCGTTATGCCGTGGTCAGCATTTGAGACCGTTCCGTTATTCCGAGGTCAGTATTTGAGTCCTTCGTCCGAGTGGTAAGCAAACAAGACCCTGCCGACACCGGCCTGGTCCGCACGGGTCCGTCCGGTCACAAACATGCATATACATGTAATCCCTACCTTCAGTAATAGTTCCAGTGCTTCAACAGAATGTGATGCAGTGGCCCAGTGTAATGGTAGCCCAGTGTAATGGTAGCCCACTATCATTATCTCTAGCATCCATTCATTAATAGTAACTGAATGAAAGAGACCAAGCCAACTACTGATGCACTGTGTAATGCTGTTGAACCATCTATAGCCTAAGAATGACAAATAGCATTAAAACTATTATATACATGTACTATAGTTACTGTAAGATCAAAGGCACCACCAGGTCAAAAATATACAATATATTTTTATATATTTATAATTGTTTTGAGGATGAACAATTAGGCTATTTGGACCACTCTAATCACAAGGGCACATAATACTGGCTCAAATATGCGTATCTATTTTATAGTGGTAATATATTAGTGATAGGCACTTATTTTAGTGATAGGCACTTATTTGAGTAGGGCCCTTATTCGAGGAAATACAGTATATAGCAAATCCAATTTTGATCGGAATCAGCTTAAACTTGCTATACAACATAAAAACATGTATATGTCTCAGGGAAAATTATAAAAATTGAAAATTCTCTCCTAGTCATTTTTGGCAAAATTTGGCCTGGTAAGACCCTGTACTACAATACAGGGACTTTGGCTCAATTTTTTGAGTAACTTTAAAAATTCATTTTAAAAATAATTCTAGATCGGAATCAGCTCAAACCTGTTACACAACATAAGTACATGTACATGTATATGTATCAGGAAAATTATTAAAATGGAGAATTATCTCCTAGACATTTTTAGCGAAATTTGGCCCAAGACCCTGTACTACAGTACAAACTTAGACCCAATTTTTTAATAACTTATGTTATACATGCACAATACACACAATATGTAAACTAAAAGTAGTCATGATAGCCTGTATTGTATAGTGAGTGTATAGTGAGTGTATGGCGCATGTATGACTAGTGCACTATCTAGTGAGTATGTTGTTAGTGTATAGTGTATCATGTACTAATATCAACAAACTGATGTACCTGGTGCTTTACACGTTACAGGCATAAAACTATACATGCACAAACAGAGATGCACTCACTTTATACTAGTTTGTTTGTCAACTTGCACCTGTCTGGTGCTGTACATGCACTTGAGGTGACAGTGTGTATCAGTATACCTGCTGGTCAATATTAGCTCCTTTCCTTATAAGGAGATCAGCACAAGCCAGTTGAACACCTCCAGACAGTAATACACTCTAAAATGTAGAACATGAACATTGTACATGAACAATACATACATCTACATGTATAAGTACATGCATTTGTAAAACAATAGAAATACCATATGTGACCATAATTGACAAAAGGTACCTTATGGCGGATTCTAAAATTCATCATTATAATGAAAATTATTAACCTGTGAGTGCTCGGTTGGACAATCATTGTTTCTAAAAGTTAGATGGTAACTTTTTGCATCCTGAAGAGTAATTTTATGATAAATTAAGCTCAGGAAGTTGGATTTTTTAGGCTATAAAAACCGATTTTTTCTATCCGCCATAAGGTACCTTTTGTCAATTACGGTCACATATAGCTAAAAAACTTGGAGTAAAACTTAGACGAATTTGGCAAATTGAGGTCCATTAGCCAAATTTTTAGCCTCCAATTTGATAAGGTTCCATAGAAGCATGCACAGAAATAAAATTTCGCCAAAATTTTAACCTCCAAGCCTCTATTGAAGTCAATTGGCCAAATTTTAACTAACCAAATTTTCTAGCTATACGGTAAAAGATAAAACAATGAACAGAATATGTGCCATTGGTAATAATTGGCATCACATGTACTGTATATTGTACGTAGAATATTTATTAAATTTTAAAAATACATGTACATGTATTCTTACCAGTGCATCAGTGCAGTGGCTCCTTCCTGATCAATGCTATTAACATTATAACCTTTACTTAACAACTGCTGCAACATCCTGTGATTACCATCACTAATGAATATAAAACAAACAATAAGAAATAAAATTACATGTACTGTACATGTACATGTACCTTGCTCCTTTATGTAGTGATAGGTCAGTTTCAATCTCCCTGTTATAATACCGAAGGGAGGGAGAGAGTGAGGAGAGAGATGAAGATGATGAAAGTGAAGTGGATATGTCTCTTTTCTCTCTTCCTTGGGCCAGCTCTCTCATCTCTAGTCTTTCTCTTTTCCAAA